GTAGCAGTGCTCAGAGTGAGGTCCCCTTGTCATGCTGTCCCCCAGTCCTCACAGGAAGCTGTTTTATCTGCACTTATGTTCTGCTGTTACCCCTTACCTGAGTGTGTTTCTTCTGCTCTCTCTGGGACCCTGCCTGCATACAGCCTCCTCTCCTGCCAGGGTCAGTCTGTCCCCCACCCTCCCAGGCCAGCAGGAGCTCAGTGTAGATGCTGCATCCACCTGGATGTGCTCGGTGACCAGGAAACCTGCACTTAAACCCTTTAACTCAGCTCTGCTCAGCAGTTTTAAGCATGTGCAGCAAAATGCAGCATTTTCTGGGTACCAGCCTGTGTCCTAGGTCCACTGTTGGGCCTGGGCTAACAACCAACCAAACCCACCACATGGCACATTATGCTCACTTTTTGTTTCTTCCCTCACTGGGGATTGAACTTTGCAATGAGCTACATCCTCAGCCCTTTTTGTTATTTTGAGACAGGATCTCACTAAGTTACCCGGGCTGGCTTCAAAATTGGGATGTTCCTGCCTCAGTCTCCCTGTGTACTAGGACTATAGGTTTGTGCCAACACAAACAACTAGACATCGCTTCTTTAAAAGTGATATCGTGGTGGCTTTCAGTATATGTACACCCTACATGGCTCTTGGCAGTTTTACCTGTGTTCTTAAAGTGAATGTGAAAATGCAGAACATTTTCTCTTCAGGAAGAGAAAGAGTCGATTTAATCGCTGTCCATTTCTTTTGCAGACTGGGTCTCTAGAGGCTGCCCCTTTCCTCTGGGAGGGACAGTTGATACACAGCCTGGGAACCCTGGCTTCTCCTTGCTGGGTACTCTGCCTCCAGGACATTCCAGGGACAGAGTTTCAGGTTACCTGGCTGGGGGTGCTTTCTGGGTGGGGACATGCTTTGCACCCCCACACCCACACCCAGAACCCTGGCTCCTCCCCAGCTCCTTAGCATGGGCTTAAGTGTGCATGCGCTTGGCCAGCATTTCCATCTGACCTCCAAGATTATAGGGTTTCTTATTTATTGTCTTTGATTTTATCTTTTAGGCTGAAAAACTCAGTCCACTGAATTGTTTGCTGTACCTTACAGGATACATATCATTGTTTCAAAATTGTAGTAACTTAAGTCTCCTGATTGAAGCTTAAGTATTTTTGCTATTCTGCTATACTTTTCCTAGTGAAGCTATCAAATTTGTTTTGAGTTTTCTTTTGTGGTACTGGAGATCGAACTCAGGACCTTGGGCTTGCCAAGCAGGTGCTTATGCAGCTGAGCTATCTTCCCAGCCCAAAGATATCAAGTTAAAATATAACTGGAATAATTTCTCTCTCGGCCTACGTCACCAATTTGGCATGCAAGTTAAGTTAAAAATTTTTTTTAAGTTGTTTAATTTCTAGAAACTGATTGTTCTCTTGCTTAAGCTATTTTATTCATGCAAATCATTGGACTTTAGTTTGGGGGTGGGGGTTGTTTGTTTGATTTTTGGCAGTGTCGGGGATGAAACCCAGAGCTTCTCACTGCACTGTATGCGGTAGACCTTTTTTATTGTTTTGAGAGAGGCTCTCACCAAGCTGTCCAGGATAGGCTCCAATTTGCAATTCCCCTGCCTCAGCCGCCCAGACCAGGAATAGGCAGGTGTCGACTGAAATGAGGCACACTTGTCCTAGAGGCAAATAGCACAGGGTTGCAGCTGGTTGCCAGTGGGCTGTCCTGCCAGCTCATGCAGCAGACCCCCTTGGGACAGCAGCTGTTGATGCCTCCCTTCTGCTGATCAGCGGTGTCTGTGAGGATTTCCCAGGGCATTTCAGGCAAGGGTCCTGGGAGTGGGGTTGCTAGTCATAGGCTCAGTGCTTACATGACTGGGGTGCTTTCTTGGTGGGGACGTGCTTTGTACCTCCACACCTCAGCTGACGTGTCTACTCCAGGGACATCAGAGAATGGTGTCAAATTCGGACGAGGGCCAAGACAAGAAGGCAGGAAGCAGGTCATTAGGGTACTTTTAGGTTGCATTTCTCTTATATTCTTTTTCTTGATTTTCAGAGCTTATTAGTTCTTTTGAATTAGAAATAATCATCCTAATATATTCCATTTTAAATTATAATTTTTTAGGGGCCTGGCCCTAGCTCAGTTCTTTAAGTGGCTGCTTCGGCAAAGCTTTCAGCCTCAGGTTGCTGTAGTTCGATCCCCACAACACTCCAGCCAGCCAAACGAACCCTGAGGGCATTTGGAGCAAAAAAAAAAATCCTTAAATTATAATTTTTTATTAAGGCAAAGTGCTAGTAACATAAGATTCAACTTTGTGTTTTGAAACAGGGTCTCACTCAGTAATTCAGGCTAGCCTTGAACTCACTATGCAGCCCAGCTGGCCTCAAACTTGAGCAGATCCTCGTGCCTCAGCCTCCTCTTTAGTACAGGGATCACAGGTATGCACCACCACACCCAGTTCAAAATGCAGCTTTTTTTTTTTTCCGGAACCGGGGATTGAACTCAAGCCCTTGTTTATTCTACTGAGCCATCTCCCCAGCCCCCAAAATGCAGCATTTTTAACTGTCTCATGGTACACACTCAGTAGCTACCAAGTCACCATGTGGTGTAGCCATCACTTCTGTGTCCATGCTTTCCTCTCTAAAGGAACCCCTCCCCATGAAACCCTGTTCTGTGCTCCTGCCCAAAAGCCAGTTTCTGGTTTCTTTACTAGTGCTTTTGAAAATGTTCATTATTTCCATTTTTCTACTGTGTATTTTGTCTTTGTTGTTCCTGGATTTAAACTCATGTAGGGGGGCCGGAGAGATGGCTCAGTGGAATAAGTGCTTCCCTGGCAAGCGCAAGGGCCTGAGTTCAATCCCTGGTTCTGCCAAAAAAAAAAAAATAAACTCATGTAGGGAGATTTTTTTGCTCCTCAATTCCTAAGGAAGTTCCCCATTTTCTAGTACTGTAGCGCTCAGTTCTTGTGTCCCCCATGTACATGGCATTGTCCTGCCATGTGGGAAGCAGTACAGACCAGTCCAGTGGTTGCCAGTTTCCTTTAGTTTGTGAGATGCACCCCCTCGGGGGAGCACTGAGGTGACCCCAGCCTGGGCGCTATTTCAGGGCGCTGGGCCTCCTGTGCGCCAGTGAGGGAACAGGACTGGGCTTTCGCCCCACTCTCCACTTTGGTGGTTTTACTGACTTTTTTTCTTGGTGGAACCGGGGATTGAACTCAGGCCCTTGCGCCATCTTTCCAGTTCCTCTGGCTACTTTTGCTTGTCGCTCATAAACTTTATAATCAGCTTGTTTAGATTTGGGGGGAAATGTCCTGGTACTTTTATAAGGATGACATTAGCTTCATGACTGTGCAGGTTGTTTATGAGCATTTCTCCACCCAGGAACAATTTTTATCTCTTTCCATCTATTCTAGTGTCTTTAAGGTATTTTTAGGCTTTTCTTTTTGTCCTCTGCTGCTCTTGCTATTCCATCCTCTATAAATTGTGTGCATACCCAGCCAGTGGCCTCTGTGCTGCTTCAAAGCCTGTTATTCTCTGGGCTCCCCATGCCTAAACATGGCTTCCTTTTGCTAGAAATGGCCCACTGGCTCTGCTCTGGGAGGACAGAAGACAGCCTGAGCTGGCAGCAGCTGCACATCAGACATCAGAGGTTCTTCCCACTGTCCCAGCTCCATGAGCCGCCTACTGGGCAGGCTGGTCTGCAGCCCCACTGGCTGGAGTCCCTCAGATCTTCGTCCCCTCAGGCATGGGAGCAGACAGTGCTCCAGAGTGAGGAGGAGCCTGAACAGTAGGGGCTGGTGGGGAAGGGGCAGCCTGGACCTCAAGCACAAAAACCTTTGCGCCAGGACCCTGCCCCAGAGGCTGAACAGGGCTGGATCTCAGCAGTTGTCTGGCTCCACCTTTGTGGAACAGAAGAGTAAGCTGATGCAGGGCTGTGTATCCACCTCCTGGTACCCGGGCTGGTGTGGGGGCTGGGGCAGATGTCTGTATCTGTACAGAGGGAGCCCCTGACCTATGTGAGGTCACCTGGAGGAGACAGCACAGGGGCTATAGTCAGATAAGGCAGAGCAAGGCAGGTGGGCACCAGAGCAGGGCAGTCGTGCATGCACAGTGTGTGCATGTGTGTGGCCTCCAGGGGCTGACACAAGATGCCCTGGACTCAGTGAGAGGGTGGTCTCACCCAGCTGTTTCTGAAGCACTTGAGCAAGGCACTGAATCTAGGACTTAACACAGAGCTGTATCTCCAGCTGTTTTAAAAGTTTTGAAATAGGGTTTTGTGAAGCGGGGCTGGCCTCAAATATGAGATTAACCTGCCTCACTCTCCCGAAGTGCTGGGATTACAGGCTTATCCGTGCTGGATGCATTCATCTTGGTGGACTCCGCCTCCAACTTCAAGAGTCCTGAGTAACACTGGTAGGTGCAGGGCAACCCAGGGCAGGATTTCAAAGCTGGGGTGACGGTGGCGGAACGCTGGCACCAGATGGTGGATCCTGAGGGACAGACCCTACCACCCTGCACTCAGGAACAGGAGCCTGGGAGAGTGGCACTAAGAAAGACTTGCTGCTGCCCAGGTGGAGGCCCCCACACTTCCCCGAAGTCTTCCCTCAAAGGACCGTCACTTTAGGATGGTGCCTAGAAGTGCAGGGTCCTGGGTGTGCAGTGAAGGGCTTAGCCCACACCTGAAGACATAACTCTCCGTTACTTATGGGGTATCTAGGCGGGGAATGAAGTCCTTAAGCTCATCCTTTCTTTTCTACTCTGTCCAGTGCAGTCTGGACCAACAGCAACCCCATGACCTCCTTAGTCTGACTCCAGTCACCCGAGCCTGGCTCTCCTAAGAGCCTGCGCAGGAGCTCCAGGGGCAACACCTCAGTGTCTGCTGCGCCTTACACTCCAGTGTCCATGTTCACTCCTCCATGGTTGGGGACAAGTGTTAGTACCTTCAGACACCAGACAGCTCCTAGGAGCCCCCTCCCCAGTATTTTTCTAGCAGTTCAAGGAGACCCTTAGACACAAGACTGACTGTCTAACATGAAAATGAGTCTGAAGTTTATTCCCAGCCTCCCTCCACAGGCCTGATTTGCCTTTGACCCAGGACAGCATGGGCCCCTGTAGCACGCAGCCTGGCAGGGGTCACAGGGAGCTGGAGAGGGCAGCTCTGGTCACATGCCCCCCTCAGCACCACATCACTTGGTCTAGACGGGCTAGCAGGGGCTGTGGGCCTAACGAGTGCCCTGCATGGGAAACTGGGCATCAAGAAGGTGGGGACATTCAGGCCTCTGACACCAGGAGGGGCCCGGGTCCCAGTGTCCGAGTTCTTGGTCCTAAGGGCAGCACGAGAGATGGATGGGTCATCCTCACCCTGCAGGGGACAAAGCCTCTCTGGCTTAGCTCCTGCATACCATCCTATCCACAACTGGAGCCCACACCCTGCCCCCCACACTGGGACCCCATCATGGTGATAGCCGATGAATGCTGTACATTGGGCTCAGCAACTAGCACAGAGGCCCAGATTGCTAGTGCAGAGCCTGCTGCCCCGAGGACTGAGGCCATTTCGCATCCCACCGAGGCCCTTGCTGAGGCAGGGCCAAAGGCTATCCCTGGATCTTGGGCAGAGGCTCTGAGGAAGGCTGGGGCATGGGGCTCTGGAGGGGGACAGGTTGTCCAGGTGCTGCAGGGCTCCCAGGTCGGGCACAGGGTGCCAGGCAGGCACTCATCTCTCTGGCAAGAGTACAAAGAAGGCAGCCTTCAGGAAGCGCCCGAAGCTGCACAGTGCGGCCACAAGCCAGTGGGAGTGGAGGCCAGGGTCAGTGCCAACCACGCACTTCAGGATGTCAGTCTGCAGGGAGGAGAGGACAGTTGGGGAGAAAGGTCAGGCCCCAGCCCCAGCGTCCTGCCACAGTGGCCTGCAAGGTTACCTAGGGAAGGACTGGAGCCCAGCACATCACAGGGCCACCCCTCAGCACAAAACCCACTGAAGGTGCAGGAGGCCCAGCATTCCTGCTAGGGCCCTCAGAGCCTGCACTCCCAGGAAGGGACTAGCCTGGCTTCAGACCTCTAGGAGGGCACCGACTCTGCCAAGGAGCAGTCCCAGTGCCACTTAGGGCACACACTGACCCCTACCCCCCCAGCCCAGCCTGGTAGGAAGGGCAGTCTCTTAAGCCAAGGGCCTGGACATGTAGGTGGCTCCAGACACGGGCATCAGAGCTCTCTACCCACATGGGACCTGGTACAAAGGTTGCTGGGGTAGCTGAGGGTCAGCAGGGGCTGAGGTCTTGACTGAAGGCTGCCCAAGGTAGGGAGGGGACACCAAGCCCACTGTCCCTTCCCTTCCCCTCCCTGCTGAGCCTGAGGGTCTGAGCGCTGCCTCTCCTGTGCCACCTGATGATCACTCCTGCTGGCTGCCTCCCAAGGCCGTGATCTTGACCTCAGGGCAGGATAAGAGCCAGATCTGGGGAGCCAGCCCGGGGCTGCCCACAGGTCCCAAGGCCTGGGCCTGCCACCCTCTCCCCATGCAATGCAATGCTCACCCATCCACCACGCCGCCGCAGCCAGGTGGCCAGGGTCTTTCGCACAAACTCTCCCAGGCAGTCGACAAGGGCATGAACCATGGCAGGCTGGGCCTGTCGCACACAGTCCACAGCCAGCCCCGCGGCTACTGCGTAGAGGGACACCACCTTGCCCCATGTGATGCCTGCAGAGAGAGGACAGCAGGTGAAGGACCTGGTGCAGGCCTGTGGACCCTAAAGGGGCCCAGCCACCACCTTCATGGTCTGACTTAGGCCCAGGGCAGTCCTCATGCAGATGGACATCCTGGCCCCCCGCACATGGCGCAGACCCATCAGCCCACTGTCTGATGGAGGAGGCCACCGAGCCTGAGAGAATGGCCACACCCTGGCAGTGTCCACCCTAGCCTGTTCATCTGAATGGCACTGCTGGGCGTCTGATAAAGACAGACTCGGGTACCAGCTGCAGACCTCCTGAAAGCCAGGACCAGGACAAGGCTCCCTAGAAGGAAGGATGTGCTCAGTCATGTGATATGATGCTTCCCCGTGCTCATGTGGCTCATCCAAATGTGAACATAGAGCAGAAATGGGCGATTCACAATGATAAGGCGCAAAAAGGACATTAGACGTGAAAAAAGTTAACCACACTAATAATAATAAGAAAGGTAAATTAAAATGAGATGTCTAATTCCACTAAAGCCATGTAAAGCCATGTGAAGAAAAGATGCCAACAGTGTGTGGCAGACAGGACGCTGTTTGGCAGAAGTGGAAGCAGTTTGTGCCAAGTCTATGCAGCACCTTTGATCAACTTTCTCTGCACCAGGGTGACCTCTGACAGTGTCACTGCAGCACAGCAGAATCACCACTGCACTCATGGGCTATGGGCAGACCAGAGGCATCCCCTGCTATACAGGACTGAGGTCTGATGGCTGCCACACGCTGAGCTTCCAGACATAGGAAACGGAGGCTGCAACTGCCCTGACTCAATGCTCGTGACAGGGAAGGACTGGACAGTCAGACAGACTCGGAGGGGCGGCAGCTGGGGATGGGGGTCAGGACCACAAGTGGGCACCACATTCTGGGCAAGAAGAACTCCTACAACTGACAGGTGGGGATGCACAGTGCCGAGTGTGCCAAATGGCACTGAGCTGTGCCCTTCCCAATGGCCAGTGGTGTGACACGAGTTTCACCTCCGTAAGTGGGAGAACCCTGAATCAGACCATCACTTCTGAGCCTGAACTCTATTGATGCTATGTCCCATTTTTCTCAAATCCAATTATGAGATCCCGTCGGCACTTCCCTATCCCAAGAGAACTCAGATGCCATCCTGGTCCTCTCTCTGCCATGCTTCCAAACAGGGCTCTGCCCAAGTGAGCAGGCTCACAGATGGCCTTGCTCTTGCCTGTGCCCAGGGCACTGGGTGCTGTGTGAACAGTGACAAGTCCTCAGGGCCTGATGCCAGGACTGAGTGCCATAGCAGCTGCCATCTGTGCAGCTGGCAGAAGAGCTTGCTGTCCTGTGGACAAACAGCGCAGCCTTGTGCTACAGTGTCTAGAGACCACAGGGCCCAGGGGCGCTCCAGAAGGGATTCTGTTTTCCTTGGGCTCTTGTATTTTCTTTTTCATTGAGACATAATTTCATTACCATAAAATTTATCTTTCAAAAGTGGAATGAGGGGCTGGGGAAATGGCTCAGTGGAATAAGCGCTTCCCTGGCAAGTGCAAGGGCCAGAGTTCAATCCCCGGTTCCACAAAAAAAAAAAAAGTGGAATGAGGCAGGAAGATCACTGTAAATTCAAGGTCAGCTTAGGCTACCTCGTGGATTTAAGCCCAGCCTGAACCATACACCAAAAAAGACTGTCACAATGACCCAATCCCGGATATCTTCACTAACCCCACAGCCATGAGCAGTTACTCCATATCCTCTTCATCCCTGATCCCCTCGGGCCCACTTTTATCTCTACTGATCTCCCTACTCCAGACACTTCCCAGGAGTGGAGCCACAGTCCACTCAGCTCTGTGTCAGGCATATATCACTCAGCACTTTGCTGTCCAGGTCTCAAGCTAGCATAGGTCAGCACTTTATGCCTTTTTACAGATGAACAATATTCTGTGCTATTTATTTATTTATTTATTTATTTATTTATTTATTTATTTATTTATTTTTGTGGAACCAGGGATTGAACTCGGGTCCTTGCGCTTGCCAGGCAAGTGCTTATTCTGCTGAGCCATCCCCCCGGCCCCTATTCTGCATTCTTTGGTCTATGGGAGGACATGTGGGTTCTTTCCTGTGTGTCTGTGTGTTGTATCTGGGACAGAAACTAGGGTTTGATCTGAGCTACATCCTTTTGTTTATTTGTGAAACTGGGTCTAAGTCACTAAGTTGCCTGGCCTAGGCTGGAACCTGCCACCCACCCCCCCAGAACTTCCAGAGCTCTGGATGACAGGCAGGGGCCACCACACCCAGCTCACTGCTACTTTTTAGCTGTGATGAGTAACACACTACGAACATTCCTGTGCAAGTTTCTGTGTCGCATGTTTTTATTTCTCTTGGGCATATGCTGAGGAGCAGACCTGCCGGATAATCTGGTGACGGATAATCTGGTGACTCGAACCGGCCTGGCTCCCAAAGCAGCTGCACCACAGCAGGGGGTGGCATACAAGGAACCTGTGCTGACTGCCAGGCTGGCTGTGCTCCTGCATCCGAAGCAGCCTTGATCAGTGCTTCCCTAATGACCAGTGACAACAGCTATCTTTCAGGTGCTTTCTGGCTTACTGTCTTATTTCTATCTGTGTCGCCATGGGGGCAGCCATGTAGTCTCATGTACTCAAGCAGGCCTCTGCTCTGCTCCCTGCTCAGGTGGTGTTGGGAGTCAGGGGGTTCAGAAACCAGACAGCTTTGGGCCTGACCCAGAAGGGTTCCCTGCCAGCTGGGAGCAAAAAGGGGTGAACATAGTGATGGAGTACGGGTCATAGTTGCTGACTTCCACAGGCTTAGCAGAGCTCCCCCAGAAAGTAGGCCACCCTTGTCATGACCCTTAGCACCATCGCCCTCCTCTTCCCACCCCTCTCCTCCCCTAGGAGGATACCTCTGGGTGTCCTTTGCAAGACCCTTCAGGCAGAGGTACTGTTCTCCCCGGCCACCGGCCCTGTCCCCTGCTCACCCCTCCACCTCACAGGGCTCAGGCCCCCATGGCACCCAGAGCTGAATGTGCATTCCTGCCATTTCAGTTTAACAATAACCCACAACCGTCAGACCAACTATTCCTGCCATTTCAAACCAGCCCAAAACTCTTCAGCCAGCTCAGGGACCCAGAGACAGACCCCTAGACAGAACCCACACACCAGTGACACTCCAGGGTGGGGTGAGGTGGTTGCAGGCCCAGGCACCTGCCACTCTGCTTCCTTCCTGAGCTTTACCCATAACCACCTTCACCAAGAGCTACCCACTGCCCTCTCTTTGCCCGGTGTTTCCTGTAGGGCATAGGGGCTACACCAGCTGATCCCATCTGTCCCCTGATGCCTCTCTCCTCTAGGCTACGCCCACCTCAGGCTGCATACAGGACCCACAGAGCCCACATGAACCCAATGTGGGGGGCCACAGCATGATGGCCTATAAACCACAAAGGCTGAGTACCCCAAGGAGCACTGGGCAGGAAGCATTGCCCCCACTCCACTGGCCCACCCACCCCGGTGTACAGCACAGACTGTGGCACCTGCTGCTCCTTGGGAGGGGTCCAGTGTGTGCTGCAGAAACAAGGTAAACCGAGGGCACAGGACAACCCCTTCCAGGACCCAGCCTTGGGAGCCTGCCCTTACACGGGCCCCATGCCTCCCGTCACTATGCCCCAGCCATGGTGATTGACAGTGCTCCCACTACACCAGCCACCAAGTAAGAAGGCACAGCCAGCCCACCCTGTCCCTAGAGTCAGAGGAGCCTCCCCAGAAGAACAACTATGTTCAACATAAGTCACCCCTCAAGTGTTGGGGGCAGGGCCTTCTGAGTAGGGTGCGGCTGCTTCTCACTCTGTTCTTTGGGAGGCCAGGACCACTAGGCCCCCTGGAGGTTGCCTTCACATGACAGGGACTAGGGCTTCCCTGGCACCCTCAGCTCTGCCTGGTCCCCTCACCTGCTGGGCCCCATCCTGAACTCCCCTGGGGTACGCATGCCCGGTAGCCTACCTGTTGAGAAGATGTGGCCTGCCACAGCCAGGAATGCGTCAGTCACCACGGGCTCTGACTGCAGGGAGATGTGCAGCTGGCGGGCCACGTTGCGGTACACGCTGGGCCGGATCTGCTCCAGCTCGTCCCCTGGCAGACACACATGTGGGTGAGAAGCAACGCACATACAGCCCCTGGCCAGGCTGGCTGGGGACTCCATGACCTCCAGCCCGATCACCACCTGCCTTCAGCCAGTCCCACCTCCACTAATCTGATTCTCACCCCACCTGACCTTGCCAGCTGCCCCCAACCTCAGGCCCTAGCGGCAGAGACCCAGGAGGTACTGGGCCCCAACCCCCAGACTGAGCTGGCTGGGCCGGTGAGGCAGGAATCCATCAGAGGAGCGTGGGCTGTGCCTGCTGGTGAGTCACAATGGGCAGCGGGCGGGCAGGCAAGCAGGCAGGCAGCTGAGCTGCTGGGGCAGCGGCTGGAGGGACAGGAAAGAGGCCAAGGCCCAACCTAGGAAGGGGTAGGCATCAGAGCCCACACAGGTAGACACAACACTCCCCCAGAACCTTGAAGGGGCTCTTGGCCTGGTACGTTAGGAGAACCGACTCAGAAAGCAGAGCCTAGCCTTGGCTGCTGCACTGCACATACCCTAGCCTGGGCTCATGCACCAGAGCTCTTGGCCCACTGGGGAGGAAACAATTCCCATGCCTGCCCCGAGGGGCTGGGACACTCTTGGCACAGGGTGCAAGCCCTCGGAAGACAGTGCTGGGAATTCCACACAGCCCCTGGCTTGGGTGTCCCCGGGCCAGCCACTTCACAAGCCAAAGCAAACAGGGAAATGCTACCGACAGCGATAAGGCCAGCTGTGCTCCATCTAAGTAATTAAGATCCGGAACTGGAGCAGAACCCGAGGCCCACCAAGGGTGGGGGTGGCACGGAAATTCCCAGGGCTGGCCTGGCTGCTCCCCAGCATAGACCCTGGAGGCCTCCTGGGACTGGCCCCAGGACACAGCTGCAGGGATGCAAAGCTGCTCTCCGTGCTGCTGAGGGCCTGTGGGCCCATGCAGGGTAGGGAGCCCCGAGCAGCACAAAACCTAGCTGCATTCTTGGGATCCCCCCTGAACTATCAGGATGTGCTCACCTGGGGGTGTGGAAACCCTGAGTGCTGCTTGCTGAGAGAACAGAGGGACACATGCCAGCCTGGGCACACAGCAGCCTGGCCCGATGGGGGACAATGGTCCTCACTGAGTCCTACTCACACACTGGGCACTCTGGGCCTGGCCAATCCTCCCAGCAGGTTTGCTCTGCTCTGTTCCCCACTGCTGCCCAGAACCTGCCCACCCCGCAAACACACACACACACACACACACACACACACACACACTACCAAGCAGGCTGCACAGGCTACACAGCCCTGCTCCCGGAGACTAGCACAGCACACAGACACGGGGTCCACAGCACAGGGCAAAGCAGTGTTGCCCCAAGAAAAGGCAACCACCCCTACCCCCCAGCCCCCACCCACAAGGGCACTGGTTCCTATCCACTACCAGGGCCTCCTGTTTCTGGGGCACGGACAAGGCCGGCTGGTTGGCTGCATGGGGTGGCTCAGGGTCTGTCTTCCCTCCTCTGTGGCCCAGACTTTAGGGAAGGTGCAGAGTCTCGGACCTGTGACTCCAAAGACAAGTGCCCCATTGCTCCCCAGGGAACCAGGGAGGTCTCCAAATGCAGAGAAAGAGCAGCAAGGGATCTCAGCCAGAAACTTTCAAAAGTCTTATTTTCCAAAACAAACACGGGACACGTGGTCCCAGCAAAGATCTCTGCGCCCTGCTGAGTCCAAGGGTCACTAAACCAGGCGAGCTTTAGCTTTCTGCTAGTGCTGGCCAGGATGTCAGGGCAGCGAGCGGACGTGGGGGCGCGCGGAGGAGACTGAGGCCGGGCGGAGACACTCACCCAGGCGCAGCAGCACAGCACACACCTCCGCCAGGCGGCCCCCCGGCACTGCCGCGCGCTCCGGCGCGCTCCAGGCCAGGCCGGCGCGCAGGAGCCGCGCGTGCACGAACTCCCGGCCCAGCGCCTTGGCCTGGGCCACTAGCTCCTTGTCGGTGGGCGAGCGCTCAAAGGCATCCATGATCTCGGCGGCGAGGACCGAGGAGCGGCGCAGGACCTCCATCGCGAGCGCGTAGACGGGGGCCGCCACACCTGCGGAGACAGCGCTCAGGATCGGGCCGACTCCGCGGGGCTCCTGCTCGCGATCGCGGCCCGGGACCCGCCCTCCCCGGCCCTCCCCCACACTACCAGGCTGGCTGCACGGGCTAGGGTGCGCGGGCACCCGCTGGGCGCGCCCGGGACGGGGACTCTGCGACGCCAGGCCCGCATCTCCCGAGCCCGGATCGCGTCCTCAAGTTCCTGGGCTCGAGCGCGGCGGCGACGGCGACGGCGACCGGTCCCGGGACCCGAGGTCCCTCCCCCCGCGCGGGCGCCAGCTCACCTCTCTCGCGGCGTGGGCGGGACGAAGGTCCGGAGTGGACTCCACGCTCCCGACCCCGCCCCGGGCCCCGGGCCACGCCCCGCAGTGGTCCGCGGCTTCCCGCGCTCGCCGGCTCCGGTCCCGCAAGCGTGCAGGGTGAGCGGCGAGGTCCCGCCCGCAGGGGCGAGGCCCTGGCTTTGCCTTCTAAGGAGACTGCAGCCCCTGGGCGGAGCGCGGAGGCCCGGAGCCGCCCCCGCGGCTTAAGGAGGCCCGAGCCGGTTCCCGGGACTCCGTCGCTCCGCTGGACGGCCAACCTGTCTTCTGACGGATTTTCAGAGATTCTTCATGCGTTCTAGCTTAGTGCGTTCTTGTCTGGCATGAGCATTTGTATTCTCGGTTGATACTGGAGATTTTGCAGAGGACTTCTGTGAGGTGTTTTGCTTTTATTGAACAAGTGGGATTTTTTTGCTTTTGTCGTTGTTTGGGAAGGGGTTGTTTTGTTCTTTTGTACATAATCTCTGTTGCTCATGCTGGTCGTGAATTTAAGAACTCAAATGATTTCTCCTATCTCAGTCTTCGGAGTTCTGGGATGCAGGCACCAGTGAACCCAGCCAAAGTAATGAATTAGATTTATCAATCTTTTCTTTCATAATTTGGGGTTTTTTATTAGGGTATTCTCCTAATGGTTTCATTCTTTGAGGAGCTTGTTTTAAGGCGCACCTTTAGATCTATGAATTGTCACTGAGTAATCCTTGTGAATATTGTGGTATAATTTTTTTTTTTCTCCATGAAGCTGTAATGTAATCCATCATCGTTTACTTCAAAGCTTCTCATGGAAGGGTCTGTGTCTGGACTTCGTTCTTATCCACTGGTCTGTTTCTTTATGTTGGAGTCAACCTCACATATTTTGAGCAACAGGATTAACCAATTTGACCTAATTCACATACGTAACGCTTCACCCCAAAGCTGTAGAGTACGTAGTCTTTACCTACGCACAGACGATGTTTATCAAAATAGGCCACAGCCTGGGCTCTAGACAACTGCCAGCAGATTTCAGGGGACTGAAATCATGCAGCGTGTCTTCTCTGAATTAAATTAAAAATCAACTACAAGAAAAATTTCTAAAAGTCTCTTAACTGCTTAGGAAGGAATATACATACAAATAACCAGTATCAAATAAATCAAATGGGATCGGTCAAGTTCTAGGCCAGTCTGGGGCACGTAAGTGAGCTCAAGACCTGCCGGAACTACATAGGGAGAAGCTATCTCAAAACGAAACCAAACAAAGTCTGTGGGATGCACCTAAAGCAGTAGGCAGAGGAAAATTTATAGTGTTAGGTCAGCGGGAAAGTTCAGCTCACTAAGCACCCGCTTGGCAAGCACAGGTACTGTGGCCACGCTGGCCCTCAGGCGCTCTGAGTGGGCTACCGAGTCCAGGCATGGTGGCGCATGCCTGTAATCCCAGAGCTCTGGAGGCTGAAAACAGGAGGATGACTATGAGTCTGAGCTGCACAATGAGGCCCTGTAGCAAATACGTCAATAAAGATATAAATTATAGTGTTAGATGAAAGGTTGAACACTAATGTTCTAAGCTTCACTCAAAAAAATGAGGAAAAGAATAAATCCAAAGATAAAAATAGGGGCTGGGAAGATGGCTCAGTGGAATAAGTGCTTCCCTGGCAAGTGCAAGGGCCTGAGTTCAATCCCCAGTTCAGCAAAATAAATAAATAAATAAATAAAAATAGGGTTGGGGAGATAGCTCAATAGAATAAGCGCTTGCCTGGCAAGCACAAGAGTCTGAGCTCAATCCCTGGTTCTGCCAAAAAAAAAATTTGTTCTTTTAGAGATTAATGGAATAAATCCCAGGAAAGAGTAAATTTAAAAAGAGAAAATAAAATTACCACCTTAAATAATGAAAAAGAGTACATCTTTAGAAATATTGCAAATATTAAAAGGATAATGAGAGAACAGCATGAACAACTTTATTACATTTTATTTTTTTAATTTATTTATTTTATTTGTGTGTGTGTGTGTGTGTGTGTGTGTGTGTGTCCAGCTCAGCCCACCAGGGGGCGGGGCTGGCTGGCATGTGGTGCTGGGGGATTGAACCGTGGTCCCTGTGCTTTGCTAAGTTTGTTCTAAGTAGGTGCTTTAGACCACTGAGCCATCTCACCAGCCCCTACATTTTATTTTTAAAGTTAATTTCATTGGTACACTTTAGATATCTATAATGATCACATTTGTCCTGGAGAATTTGTACCCATACCTGATAGATCTTGATTCTTCTTTTTTCCTAATCCACTCTCCTCCCTTTATCTCTCCTTCACTTATTTACAAAGTTTTGCTTCCATTTTTTCTTCTATTGCTTTCTTTTTCATTCCTTCCTTCCTCCCTACCAACTTCCCTTGTTCCCCTTGCCATTTGAACATTTTGTTCCCTATTTCCCAATATCTATTATACATTTTGGTCCTTATTTACCCTTTCAGTTTCTCACACCAGAGGAAAAAAATACAACATGTAAACATGTGTGTCTGATTTATTTTACTTCACTGTAGGGTTTTAAGGTGTATCCAGGGGCTGGTGAGATGGCTCAGTGGTCTAAAGCATTTACTTAGAACAAGCTCAACAAAGCACAGGGACCGCAGTTCAATCCCCCAGCACCACATGCCAGCCAGCCCCGCCCCCTGGTGGGCTGAGCTGGCCACACACACACACACACACACAAATAAATAAAATTAAAAAAATTAAGGTGTATCCATTTACCTAGAAAAGTCTCATTTATCCTTCTTTATGGCACAACAGTTTTATTCATTACATTGTTTTTGTTTTTTTTTTAAAAAAAAAAAAAAACACATCTCCAGGGCTGGCGAGATAGCTCAGTGGACCAAACACCTGCTCTTAGGCAAGTGCAGCGCTAGGGATTCGATCCCCTGCACCACATGCTGCGCCAGCCCCGCCCCCAGGGTGTGCTGAGCAAACCTCCAAGACCAGCTGGTAGTACACACCTGTGATCCCAGCGCTGGGGAGTCTGCAGACAGGAGGACCACTAGGAGTCCAAGCTGCATAGTGAGGCCCTGTACCACATACTTTAAAAAAAATTCTTCATCCATTCATCAGTTGTTAGGCATCTGGTCTGTTTCTCAGATTTAGCCAGTACACATCGTGCCACCATAAACGTGGTATGCACATATTGCTGCAGTACCATGCTTCTAACTCTTTCAGGAAGATGCCAAGAGGAGGAGTACACGGCTAAAGAGGAGCCTCTAGCTTTTGTTTTGTGAGGACTCTCCACACTGACTCCCACAGTAGTTGCACCTGTCTACGCTCCCACCAACCGTGAAGAAGAGTTTGGGTTTTTTTCCCCCATAGCCCTGCTAATATTTGTTATTGGTTGATTTCTTGATAATAGCATTTCTGGAGTAAGAAGAAATCTCAGCGTTGTTTTAATTTGTATTTCTCCAGTGACTAGTGATGTTTAACACTTTTTAATATGTTTTTTGGGAAGCAGTATATGTTTTTGGCTTCTATTTTTTCATCTAAAAAGTGTCTGTGTTTGCTCCCCAGTGCTAAAAAAAAGTCTGTTCATTTCAGATGTCCATTTTACTTTTTTTTTTTTTTTTTTTTTTTTGACCAGGGATTGAACTCAGGGCCTTGTGCTTGCCAGGCAAGCGCTTATTCTACTGAGCCATCTCCCCGGCCCTAATTTTTGTTTTTGAGACAGGATCTCATTATGTAGCCCAGGCTGGCCTTAAACTTATGTCCGTCCTCTTGCCTCAGCCTCCCCAGTTCTGGGATTACAGTTGTGTGCCACCATGCCTGGTTTGATGCTCATATTTTGATTGGGTCTTTAAATTTTTGGGGGGGGCCTGATTTTTTTGAGTTCTTTATTTTAGATATTAGTCATTTGTGTAACCATCTACTTTATTTATTTTTTTTAGAATGCTACTTTTATTTTATTTTATTTTTAATTTATTTATTTTATTTATTTATGTGTGTGTGTGGCCAGCTCAGCCCACCAGGGGGTGGGGCTGGCTGGCATGTGGTGCTGGGGGATCCGAACTGCGGTCCCTCTGCTTTGTTAAGCTTGTTCTAAGTAGGTGCTTTAGACCACTGAGCCATCTCACCAGCCCCTGAGCCATCTCACCAGCCCCCTTCTACTTTAAATATTAGATGAAACACACTTTAACAAAACTGACACTAAAAGGCAGACACGATCTGGATAGTTCTGTACCAATTTAATAAACTTAGTTTGGGGCCGGGGAGATGGCTCAGTAGAATAAGCACTTCCCTGGCAAGCGCAAGGGCCTGAGTTCAACCCCCAGTTCCACCAAAAAAATAAAATAAAAATAAACTTAGTTCACAACTTAAGATCTTTCCACAGCAAAGATGGTTACAGATGGTTTCACTGAGATTCCTAAGTGAAAGAACTATCACCAATCTTACACAAAGCTGCCCAGAGAACAGAAGATGAGGCACGCCTTCCCAGATCACTTTGTGAGACCAGCAGGCCAACACTGGCCAATGCGCTAGGCACATTGCGAGTGGCAAGGGTGGCTATGGAGCATCTGTTAAGTGTGGCTTCCCGTGGGCCTCCTTTAACCTGCAGGTGTTGGTGTTAGGTCTCAGCAATAAGAAAGTGACTGAGACTCTCACTGCCACTTCTTGTTCTCCTTTTCTCTGCTTGTTTCCTGGCTGCCTGGGGAGGTGCAGGTAAGCAGGCAGAGCCTACAGACACTTGCATCAGGAGCTCCAGGAGCCACGGTGAAGCTGAGTCACAGGATGTTCTATACAGAACATTGACAGCAGTAGGATCCAGAAACACCCTAAATGTTTAAGTGAGAATGAAACCAATCTGGCTGAAAAACTTTATCTAGACCTTCACAGCTGAGGCCAGCACCCTCGCTGGCATGAGTCCTTACTTAGTGATGACAGAGATTAAAAGTGAGGCAACAGTAATATTTACAGCCAGAAGCATTCATTGGAAAGTAAGAAAAAATGGCAAGGGACTTAGCTAAGGAGCTAACCATGACCAAGCCAGCCTCTTAAAGGAAAGTGGAACATAGGAAGGGTCTGGCTTACTACTTGGAGGGGGCACTCCCTGAGGGTCAGACTAGCCAGTTCACAGAAGAGCAGGCCCCAGGTTTATGTGGTGCTGTGATGCAGCCCTGGTTTCCTAGCTCAGGGGAGCCTTCAGGGCTTGAGGGGCAGTTTGGCTCCAGTAGGATGGCTGTCATTGCCTG